TGTTGGTCGTTGGAAATAAACAAATTATGAATAATTACGGTACCCGCCCAGGTTGAAATAAGCATGAACCCTAACACCACCAAGTCTTAGCCTACCAATTATAATGATTAGTTTATCTCCCTCTACCCACCCCCATTAGATTGTATGCTTTCCCCCTCCACCGCCAGTACCTTCTCACCCCCACCACATTATACACCCCACCTTGTTGAACTTGCCCGGGCAATTTCAGTATAAAAAAAATACTACGTGCCCACTTGGGTTTAATAAAAGATTGTTTAACCGTATAACCCTGTGTCATACGTTGGCGTCTTGGTTGGCTTCCTAGTGGTCATGATAAAACCTGTCCTCGGCACCCCAACCAATCCTTCACCAAAGCCCACGCCATTCGTTGTCTCCAGATGCACCGTCGACTTATGATGCCCGAAACAATTTCAGATCCATTATCCTTCCTTTTGAATATGCTACCTTCAAAGAAACTACGCTCCTTTCAAGCCGCTCTCCCATGGACCATTCGTTGGCCAGCTATATGCGCTCTTCTTCATGAACTTGACTACCTTCATCATCAGAAGTGTCCACTTTCTTCGCCCCCACACCTTGGGTAAAAGCTCCTCAATTGGCTCCCTCATTGTCCTCATTAGTGTATCTTACACTTGCCCCAAAATCATTTCTTCAATAACTTTTTTACCCTTGATCTCATAAGAGTTTTTTAGTTACCAATTCTTCATTCTTTTTTGATCTGCCTCGGGCGAAGAAGATATATTATTATCGTGCGCCCACTTGAGGCTTTAATTGTAAATAAAAGACTGTTTAATCGTATAACCCTGTGTGCCCTTAATTATAAGACTTATCTGCCATTTTTAGGACATAATTTCTTGCACTGTAAGAACCATGTTCTCAGGAGCTAAATTAAAAGAAAAAGGGAAGAATGATATATTTCATTAAGCAATAAACATTTCAAAATAGTGTTTATCAAAGGGTAAAATCATCAAGATTATATATATATACATTAAGAATAATAGCCAGGCAAAATATATTCTAATTTTTGAACTGTCTCTGGGTTTCTCTTTTCTTTAGCTGTCATGACAGCAAACTTCATGGAGCCTTTGTAGTTGGGTTCAAGAGTACCATGAGCAACAGCATTTTCGAGATCAGGAAGGATGGCATGAAGAAGGTTCTTGGCGTTCTTGCCGTTGTTACCCATGTTTTGCATGACAGTTTCGACAGTAACGACTTCTTCATTTTGACGCCAGCAGTCATAATCAGTAGACATACAGACCATCTGATAAGCAATTTCGGCTTCACGAGCGAGTTTGGCTTCCGGCAAGGCAGACATGTTGATGATATCGCCGCCCCAGGAGCGGTACATGTGAGACTCGGCGCGAGTAGAGAAGGCGGGGCCTTCCATACAGACTGCTGTCTTGTTGCGATGCAACTTGGCACCGAATTCCAAACTTGATTCGTGCTTGGCGATCAAATTGGCCAAACCTTCATGGAAGGGGTCTGCAAAGACGGCGTGAGCGACCACGCCGTCGCCAAAGAAGGTGGAAGGACGCAAACCGCGAGTACGATCGATCAATTGGTCGGGAAGGACAAAGTCGCAAGGTGGGATCTCCTCACGGAGTGAACCGACGGCGGAGAAGGCAATGATGACTTCGACACCAAGACCCTTAAGGGCAGCAATGTTGGCTCGAACAGGTACTTCGGTGGGTGTCAAATAGTGGCCGCGGCCATGGCGAGCTAAGAAGGCAATTTTGCTACCGCTAGGAGTGGCAGAGATGATGATTTTGTCACTAGGATAACCCCAAGGCTACCAAAAAAAAAAAGGAGAGTCTGTCAGTTTTTTTTTTACTTTATCCCTCCTTTTGACAATATTCACTTACAGTTTCAGGATATACTTCTTCAATCACTTCAAGCCCTTCGAGGTGATAAAGGCCAGAGCCACCAATAACGGCAATCTTGACATCCTTCAGTTCTTTGACCATGGCTAATTTGAGATAAGGGAAAAAGGGAAAAGAAAAAAAAAGACGCAATAGTAAAATTTTAAGACAATTATAAAAATTTTATCCAATCATGGAAACGGATCTTTACTCTTTTTTAGATCCTAATGGCGCAGTTGTGTGTGTTGCTGGAAGTAGGTTTATTATTAATAGAGTTTAATGTACCAGTTTATCCATTTTATCCACCAGGGTACGATACAGATTCTTAAAGACCTCCTTTGTATAAAAGCTTGCTACTGACATCTGTTCATCATCCTTTTGAATCCTGAACCCGGTCTTGTTACTCGACCAGCGGGCGGAATAGACCAGAATGGTGAATCGTAGAGGCATCCTGATCTGCTTTGATCTTTCACTGTTCTCTTGCGTCTCGCGGTAAACAAAACGAGACCACACTGGGTACTCAAAGACGCAATCGAGAGCATGGTCAGTGCATCGAGTTACATCAATGCTCAATTGATCGAGAATATCTAGCAGCTTTGACTTGATCTCAGCCTGTGTCAGTCGATAGAAATGACCGCGGCTAAGGAAATCAAATAGGCTTTTGGTTGACTCAGATTTACTATTTGTCAGGGCAGGTTCTCTAAATGAGGATGAGGGTGACAGTGTCTTGGACGGAGGAGGTGATATATCTGGTGATGAATTATCATTTGAGCCAGACTTATGGTTGAACGAAAGTCGTTTCCAAGATGGCCTGCGAATCGTAGATGCGGTGGAAGTGAAGGAAGTTCTGCTCTGCTGCTTACTAGTATAGCTTTTCTGATTGAATTCAAGTTTGAGCCAGTGAGGCTTTTGCTGAGGCTTGGTCTCGGCTGGCGTTGTTGGTGTATCTATCGTCTGTGGTGAAATCTTTTTGGACGCTTCATTCTTTTGACGGACTGTTGACGTAGACGTGCTTCGTTTCATTGCGCCAATAGTCTGTCGTCTTGCCAGAGCAGGCGATGACGATGATAACGGCTTTGTCTCGTGCGTGCTTGTGGACCGTGTGAGGCTGGTTTGAGGTGCATCTAACAGTTGTCTCTTTCGTTCCTCAGCTTCTTTGCGTTCCTTGACGAGATAGTATACGGATACAAGAGGATCGTACATGGCGGGTAATGTTCGAAAGTCGTCCTTGGCTTGATGCTTGATTCGACTCGATGAAGACAGTCGTCGTCGCCAACGTGGTCGACTGGCAAACACTTGATCTTCGGTTACCTTTCTCTGATAATTCTCATCAATTTTTGTTGCAGCTGATTGGTACTCTGAGGATGAGATGATCATTTCTAATTTACTGCGAATCTCATCAGGTGTACCAAGACCGAACCCTTGCATACCTTCAACAACAGCCATGTCAATTGTCTCCAATGGCTGACGGTGTGGTAGGTAATTGTTAATTGGCTCATCGTATCCTTTATTCATCCACGGATGAGATCGAATGGCAGAAAGAGTGATACGCTGCTTTGGATTGACAACAAAGATTTTTGTCAGTAAATCCAGACAGTCTTCAAGATGTTAGTGCTATTCTCATTTTACTTTATTTTTTTTCGCTTTACCTTTGCCCAAATGGTCAGGATAATCATCTACGATACCAGACTTGATTTTCTCATGGAGTGCAGGTAGATTGGTATCATCGAATGGCACTTTACCACACACTAACACATATAAAACGACGCCAAAACTCCAAATGTCTACTTCAGGACCTGTATACTCTTTTGCTTTCAATAGTTCAGGAGCAGCAAAATAAAGGGATCCACAAAAGGTGTTTAGTTGCTGTGTTGGATGGTATACATTCGATAAACCAAAGTCAATGATTTTGATCTGCTCTGATTTTGTGATAAGGATGTTTTCTATTTTCAAATCTATACAACGTATATCAACCTTACATAAACTTATCTAAAGACTATCATTTACCTCGATGGACGATTGAATTACGATGGCAATAATCGAGAGCGCTCACAATCTGACGAGCAAACTTTCTAGCCTGCTTTTCTTTCAATTTGCCATGTTTGATGATATAATCTAATAGCTGGCCTCCATCCACATATTCTAAAAACATGTAATATTTATCGCCTTCTGTAATATATTCCTTCAATTGACAAATATGAGGATGTCTCAATAAACGCATGATAGCCATTTCTCGAATTGTGCGTTGTTCACGTTCTTGTGGTGTATCCTTTGGGTCAGTGTGGCTAGTGCTCTTGATGGTTTGTAAGTCAATTTTTGGCATAATTTTAACCGCATACTATATATAGTAATCAGTTAATGCTTTTATTTTTAGCCTTCTTTTTTTTTTGTCTTTCTCTCTTTCTTTTTTCTTTTTACTTTTTGCTTGGTAGGGTCTGTAAGGCACTCGGCCAGTTTGACTTTACCCATAGAACCAGCTCCAATCGTTTTTCGATAGATAACATAATTTTGTACTTTCATGACTTGATGTCGTTCAGATTGTCTACGAGACAATGACCGTTTGATATCTTGGGATTCATTAACAATAGTCTCTGCTGTGCTGATACTCATGAATAAATAGTAAAGATAAGAAATAAAGGAAAAAGGAAAGAAAAAAAAAGTTTGGATTTTTTGTGTCCTGGAGATGAATGCTTGATTTCTTTTACAGGAAGCCTTTGTGTAACATTTCATGGTCTGCGTTATTTTTTATGAAAGAGTTTTTTTTTTCTTAATTCAAAAAAAAGGTACCCATGGGTTTACTTAAGAGAGAGAGAGAGAAATAGGCTGGTGACAACAGAATAACTTGTAAAGAAATTGTTATATTACTTATTCATCGTCACTCAATTCCGTCATCTTGGGCCATACGTCAGTCATTATTTGACCGCAGTTGTTCATGTTTAATTCTTCATTTTTAGATTTTTGTTTCGATGGCGTCAGTGATGAACAATAGTTTAAAAAGTAGAAAAGAATACTTGGTACAGCCAATAAGTCTAATACGACCGATAAAAGAACAGACTTGAATTTGTATATGCTGTGAATTCAAAGTTTGAATCTGTTGACATTCAAGGTTCAACATTGTAGATAGAATTTCCATTTCATATCAGCAGTGGCGAAATGTATGAGAGAGACAACAATTCATTGGGTGAACAGTGCGGTATAAAGATAAAGAAAATGTATTTGCTGCTTAATTGCATTATTTCCACTTTTCAAACCCAAACGACTGTAGTACACTTTTTATTCAGGCTTTCTTATTTATACAAGAACACGCTTGAGAATAGTATAATGAATTCACAAGGAATTAAAGAAAAAAAGGGGACAAACAATGAATCATGACATATACAAAGTAATGAACGTGTACACACGCGTTTTTTGATTATCTCAAAGCATTATGTCAAACTATCATTACAATAAGCAGAAAAACAATCAAACTGATCAAGAAAAGAACAATAATAGAAAAGGGAAAGAAAGGGAGAGATGATTTCTAAAAAGAATGAATTGACACCAAAAATCAAAAAAATGAAGTGATTCGTTACAATGACATCATGTAACCATAATGCAGACAAAAGAAAAAAAAAAAAAAAAGAATATAAAACCCCAGATAAGTTTTCGTTTTCTTCTCTTTTTCCATTTTTCTTTTCTTTAAATATAAACAATCAGGTATTTCATAATAGAAACAAGCAGACTGTTTCGCTCATATTACTGTAGATGAATAATAGTACAGAGGAGTTTCCTAGTCTTAGTGACTCTGTTAATAACAATGTAGAACGATCGACACTTGGCGCTTCTTGGGCAGAGGTGGCTCAACCAGATGCAACAGAAGTTGCTCATAATACTTCAGAACCAAAAGAGCAGTCCTATGCAGACATTGCTAGTAAACATCAAGAACTATCCAAACAAGAGTTTCCTACACTCCAGGATAGCGTGCCTGATTCCAATCCTACTTCATCCGGGGTAGCTGATCTGCTGAATAAAGAAACTGATCAGCCAAAGATAGGTAATGATATAAAATGAGTATAATTTGTTAGATATTCATCATCTTTTATAGACACAACTCAACCACCTAATCCTGATAGATCTTTTGCTGCTGTCACGTCAAATGAAGGGTATCCTTCACCACAACCAGATACATCAACGTCATCGGAACTGCCTCCCTTGTCAGATCTGCCTGATGTCAAGGACATGCTAGAGCAGCCTTCTGGTAAGTGCATCTAATGTTCAAAAAATGAGAAGGATACTGATGGTATGCCTAGTGCATGTGCCTCCTCCTCCAGTCAGTTTTGCCGAGGTAGCTGCCAAGGAAATTCCTCCTAAAGAGAAACCATTAAGCGAACGTGCTCAGACGATCATTAAGGAACAAGAAAACCAACCCAAGGAAGAACCATTGTCTGTAAATGACGAAAACTTCCCTACATTGGGCCAGAGTCGCTTGATGGCAGAACAAAATGCCAAGGATGAAGAAAAGGAAGTATATACCGAAATTTCAAAATTGAATCAAGCAGGTGATATTGTTGAAGAAGAAGATGACATCGTTGTGGTAGATAATAAAGGTAAAGAAAAGAGAGAGAAAGAAAGAGCCGCATAATAGATACTCATGGGAAACACAGACACAAAGAAATCGTTTGCCGACATCGCTGGCTCCAACTTGGATGATGCACCACCGTCTGCTAAATCACACGTGAATCCAGCTCCTGTGTATGACGAAAGCACTGTCCTGTTAGAAGAGAAGAGAAGAGAAGAACGAAAGCAGAATACTGTAGAATATGGTAATAACAATGAATTAATTGAACAAGAACAAGGTAAAAAGACAATAGGTTCTGGTTTAATATGATATTCACTTGTCTTTTTCATTAGCTCAAGAAACCCAAAAAGATTCGAAATTGACCAAACAGGATATTAAAGAAGAAAAGCAAGGGATAAAGAATAGATCCATTCAAAATAAACAACAAGAAAATCAAGAGGATGCACTGGTTGTTCGTCTACAGACATTTGATAGAAGAAGCTCGGGTAGAATTACCATCTTTGATACTGTATTTGGTAAAGATCCAAAAAAAAGACCTAGAATGTAGCAACTCATCTTTTGATGTGTAGCATTATACCGTTTGGGCTATCCTATATTAACCATTTTGCCTGCTGCCTTTTTGATGCATCTTCGGTTATCTCCTCTTACGTCACCTCATGGGTTTCCCTTCATTTACCGATCGCTTTTCGATTTGATATCGCTCCCGATCTACACAAAAAACCTCGGATACGCATTAACTTACAAGACACCCATGCTCCGTCAACCTAAAGATAAGGTGGTTCAAGCCGTTCGGGAATACGGAAGCGGAAACGGCCTTGGCTATTGGGATGGTATTAGAGCCATCCGACGCACTGAAAACTTAAGATGGTGGCAGCTCGGGCTTTGGGCCGTCCATCGTATTCAGTGGACATTGACTTACACCATGCTCCATGATCCTTCGAGTCATGTTGTTACTACGAATACGTTAATTGCTTTAAATGAAGCCACACATCATTAAAAAGGAAATGTAAAATAAAATATTATTTATTAAAAAAGACACACACAAAAAAAGACATAAAGTGATGATAAAAACGGTATTTTAAAGTTCTTTTTCTACAATAGATGATGATGATGTTGATAATGTTTTTTGTTCTTGATTTACAATACACTTTTCCAGTCGGTTTTCTAGATATTTACGGACGAATGGGCAGGTTGGTATAACGAATTTCTTGGCTTTTTCTGCCCATTGAAATGCTTTTTGTAGTATCAAGTCACCTAATCCTTGATGCCTGTACGTAAAAGGTATTTCCTAAGGAGTAATTGTTAATGTTGTCAATGATAAAGAGTTGTATATATAAATATATTTACAATGTGATAGAATTCAATTATATTTGGACATCTTGTAGGTAAATAACATAATGCAGCTATCAATTATAAGTTCGTCTGTGTGTCTAATATTATGAGCGTTCCTGTTTACCTGTGCTTCCTTTGTTATCTAACTGCAGTTTGAACATATAATTGCTTGGATCATGTTCAACGTCCATTATATCAAACCGTCGCTTACAGGGTATTGTTTTATTGTTACTGTTGTCCTGATTTATCACTGTGTTATAATGGTTGTTATTATTATTGTTGCTGTTGCTTCTGTTTTTACTATTATTACTATGACTACTGTTACTATGACTACTGTTACTATGACTACTGTTACTATGACTACTGTTACTATGACTACTGTTACTATGACTACTACTGCTATTACTACTGCTACTGCTGCTACTGCTACTGCTGCTACTGCTGCTGCTGTTGCTGTTATTGCTAGTTGTGTTATTGGATGATAGTGGTGGTAGTGATGCTGACGATACTTTATTATTAGTTGACAATTTATAGTGTTTTGATATCAGGCTGCTTGTTGGCGTCTGTGTCATAACAATACTTGAGCTTTGTGTTTTTCTGCGCTTTCGTCTGCTGTCCAGTTCGGATAGAGATCCGGACAAGGTAATGTGTGATTGAAGTGCCAAAACGAATTTCGAAGAAAAGAAAAATAAATAAACTTTCTTATTAGAAAAAGAAAAAGAAAAAAAGAAAATAATACACAGACGACAGAATACAAACAAAATAAGGGGAAGGAAAGAAAGAAAAGAAAAGTAAGGGAAGTAAAGAAAGAAAAAGAGAGAGAGAGAGGGAAAAGGTTAGTGTTGCCGGGTTTTAAAATAACAAAAATCCAGATTCTCAAAAGGAGGAAAATAAGGGAAGAGCGTGTGTAAAAAATAGAAACAATTGAGTAACAAAAAGTCCAATCGATCAAAACAAGCCCTTTTGCCTTTTTTTCACTTGTTCAATCTTTTATTCTTTTCTTTCTTGCTTGCTTTCAAAAAGACTTTATTACATGTAAAGAGACTGAACTCTGGTTACACAAATAACTAGGTTCTTTTTATAGTGTCTGGATCCCGTCACCTGATAGGGTTGCTTTTTTTTTTTTTTCAAATTAGCCAATCTGGACGCACGCACTGATGCCAATGGTTCAACTGCAATACCAGACCATTTTTACTTTTTATGGAATAACCTGGATTTTGCATTGGAAATTATCAAATCAATTACCAGAGAAAAAAAAAAAAAGGAAACTCAATAGTAAATAAAGAATAATCCCATGATGATTCTTGAAGATTTTGAATAACCTTCCATAAATAGAAATTACACCAGAGAGAGAGAAAAAGAGAGAGAGGAGCCAGAACAACTTGCATAGTATATCACTTTATTGACAAACTTTGGTGTACTTTTTATATATTTGTTTTGATGAAAATATTCCGTTGACAAGTGTAACATTTGCCTCCGTTTTCCTAAAGGATTCACGTTGCTTCTACACATGCTTAAGTACACACATTTCCATATTAAATGATACTGGCAGGTGTGCTTTTTTTATATTCTAGCTGGGTCACAATTCTTGTCACTCAATTCAATTATGACTTTTTGTGGTCTCCTTTCTTTCCTTTGAGTAGCGTTCAGGCTGTTTCAAGAAGTTTATGCGCGTGTGCGCATACTAATGATCAAAGAAAGGGTCTCGTAAACAAAAAAGTCAATCCGTCCAAATGAGTGATCATTCGATGAATTACTATGTAAATAATAAAAAAAGAGATGATGTTTACATCCCTTTCATTTTTTCTCTTTCTTTCTTTTTCATGATACACAAATAATAAGCGTTGAAACGTTTGACTTTTTGAAATATTCAAGAATACACAGTTTCATTTCTACAAAAAGCCATTTCAGCCGAATAAAGTGTTTTATAACAAAAAAAGAGGGAATGTACACATAAACATTCATCAAAAGTGTACTCTAGGTAGAGCATATGGCGCGCGCGCAAGACCCTATCTTATACCCTTTTTGAAGTAACGCCGTTTGATTGCTATCTGTTCTATTTTAACATTTGCGTAGCTATTTCGGTCCTGTGCCCCTTTTCTATCTTTAGAACGTCTACCTGGTAGGGCATTAACAGGGGCGAGGCTGTTTTTCGATTACTGTTCTCCAGGGATAAGAGTTAATTGCCCTCCCCCACTTTCTCCATCTCCCTTTCCTCGCTTTTGCCCCTTGTTTATGAGATTTAAAAGTCGAGATCGATGTAATAGGGAACAATTAGAAATACTCCCACAGTTAAAATATATAGTCAGATCTTTACAAGTCAATATGACTGCATAATATGAATACTCCTCTTCCCTTGATTTAAGTCTATATCTTGTCCATAATGATTGAAAGAACAGAAATACAATGTCACATGAAGGCATCTTTCAGAAGCTTGGAAATGATGCGAGAACTTATCATTGTAAAAAGAGAAGCTATACCTGAATTGGTATCTTTACTTACGTATAGAATGCAAATAAATGCTTGTGCTACACCTTAAAATGTAGCATAGAGAGTCATTATCTTGACTTGCGCTTAAAAATACAATGGAGAGCGCGCACATACACCCTCATTACATCTTACGTCATCGAACAGGTGTTAATCTTGATTAAGCACTGATTTATCTCATGACTATTTAAGAATATCATCAAACACACACACGCGCGCACAATTTAAAGGGAGGAAAATGTGTATATCCGTATATAGTCGGTAAGACGGATTTTATCAGTTTGTGGAAAATGATTGTCGGGAACTATAAGCTTAATCGTCATTACAGATTCCCTTATACAGTTGCTTTCATTGCTTTTGAGCTATAGGCAAAAGGACAAGAAAACGTTTTTAACAAACATGGAAATAGGTCTTATGATTCAATATGTTGTATTCAGTGTAAAAAGAATAGTTAACTTGATGACCAGCAAGATGAGTTCTTTATTTTTTTATATGTTAAATCTTGTCTTTTCTTTAGGAAGCATTTCCAATTCAATATAGTCCCATTCATTGTATTTTAATGTAAATGGTTTAGTTTTATACTGTAGTATTTGTTCCATGAATGCTACAAAATCTTTTTCGTTAGGGACTTCACACTTATGATACACTGTACAGCCTCCAATTCTGAAGTTTATTTCTGACTTTTGTAAGATGTACTTGTATCGAAGCTTCTTTTCTGTTATTTTTTCAACAACAAATGTGTCAGACCCTTTTTCTTCTTTTCTTAATTTCAGTAAAAAGTCTTTAAATATTTCTAATTCCATCACAACTCCTATAAGTAGCTGGGGAAATGAGGAAGAAGTGCAAAAGAGCTGAATGTTACACTAGATTTGGCTGCTTTTTTTATGCTTTTTCCAAATAGCTTTTCAACCTATTGAAAGAATTGATATGTGATCTTTCCTTTGATTCAAATTTGTCTTCTACTATTGCCCCCCCTTTTTTTTTTGCTCATTAGAACATTGGAGAACAACACTTCTAGAATAACTATATGCTCCCCTTCTGTTGCAACATTGTCAACAGATTTAGCAGGAAATCGACCCAGTGAGACGTAGGTGAAGACCTAGAGTAGAGCCTTCTCAGTTCACTCCATGCTGCTTACATTTCTTAGTTACATATTTTATGGCCATTAGATCTTGGACGAATGAACAAAAGAATGTTCTAGTTAACATGCCCTACACTAGATAGACGAAAGGCAAGAGTCATCTTCGTTGAGAAATCTTAGCTGTGTATCATGCTGCAAACGGGGATCGGTCCAGTCACGATTCTTACTTGACCCATCTGAGTACTTGAAGGACTTGCTTACAAGTATAGGCGTTCAAGAAAGGCACCTTAAGGACAGTCTCCGTCAGTACAACGCTACCTTTGCGTTTACTTGGGGTGTGATACTGTGTCTCATGAGGAGCGTGCCAGCAATCCCAACAGCAGAGTTGGGCTTGACGCGCTTCAGATCCACTGCGTCCTTTGTCATCGTCAAGAACTTCTACTTCCAGTTGAGGGCAATATGCTTTCGTATGCTCCTCAGAGACGACCAGAAAGGAATGAAAATCTTGTCCAGGAAATTATAAGAAACTTTCCAGCTATGCTTGCCCAGTGCAATTCCTTCGTACGTATCTACCATCATGCATATGAGATAATGAGAAATCATGAGGGCTCCAGTATCAACAGTGAGGATAGACCTAACAGCGATGACTGTACCAAAAGCGGCTCACTCTACATTATCATCAGCCCTTTGATGAGAATGAGGTTAATTGAAGAAGGCAATAGACACACTCACAATTTGCCAACAATGGAAGAAGTTGCCGCAGTTATTGTGGAATAGTGTGGAATCGCGATGTGGAAAGTGCATTAAATATATATGATATCTTTGTTCACAAATCAAAACATATCAATGAAAGTTTTCCCTCTTCAAAAGACCTTCAAAAGACTAACAGCGCTCCTGGATTTAATGCGCTGTCCATAATGGCAGTGCATTCCTTAACGTCTCGGTGAGTATAAAGGGAATAATACATTATTTTTTATTCATTAGTCTTCTGGCTAATAGTATTATACAAATAAAGAATCAATCACTGCTATTTATAGATGTTCTTCTTCTTCCGATCCGACACGATAAAGGAATGGAAAATAGAACGTATATTCTGCTATAATGTTTTATTTTATTAAACAGTTCCACTCTTTCTTAAAGGAAACTTAATGAATTTTGGGTGATCATAGGTAACAAATCAATTCTAATTTATGAGTCGTTTGAGGCACCTCTTTCGGACCCCTTTACTCATTTTTAAACCTTTTGGCGATATTTCCTGAAAGAAACGAGTCAGTTTCTTTGATTCTTTCAATCTTCACTGTACACGGTTTTACATTGACTGCTAAAGGAAAGAGAGCCCTTTTAATGCATAAAATTAATTACCACTCCTCAGCCTTATTAACATATACCAGTAGCGACAAATAAATTTTATTTTTCATATCATCATTTCGACTATACACACACTTTATTACTAACTATCTTGTACTTTTGTAGGAGCACTGTTTTCAAAAAGGAATCTCACTTCATTAAAGTAAGCATGTTCTAAAGCATCCTTTGCACTAATTCTCATCTGAGGTTGATATTGAAGCATACGACTTAACAAGTCAATGCCAATTGGATCAATTGTCGTCAGAACCTGTGAGATATGTTGAGCAGGATAGATCACCTGAGGCGGCTTGTATTCTGGAAACTGAGATATGGTTGGCCATGTCTGTTCTGTAGGTGTTCCCAACAATCTGAATATTTTCTGTAGTTGATCTTCATTTGTTGATCCAGGAAATAGTGGGCGTCCTGTATACATCTCTGCCATGATACAACCCGCTGACCAGATATCGATTGATGTTGAATACATACGAGAACCCAAAAGGACATCAGGTGCACGGTACCAAAGAGTAACGACTTCATTTGAAAATGTGTTTACTGGAATACCAAAAGCACGAGCAAGTCCAAAATCACCAAGCTTTAATTGAAGGTGCTTGTTGATCAATAAGTTCTGTGGTTTCAAGTCTCTGTGTAAAACGCGGTTCTCGTGACAGTAGGCGATACCTCTTAAAAGTTGATACATAAAGGATTTGATGATACTGACGTCCAATGCACCACGCGTAGCACGTGCGGTTGAGTCCATGTATTTCTTGAGGTCTTGGTCCATATATTCAAACACAAGGCTTAGCTTGTTCTCTGTATGAATGATATCTTGCAAGCGTACAATGTTTGGATGTTTTAGTTCTTTCATTAAAGATATTTCACGAATGGCAGTAGATGGTGCTCCTTCTTCAGGATCCAGATGAATCTCTTTCAAAGCAACAATCTCTCCAGTTGCTCTATTTTTGCCTTTATATACTGTTGCATAAGTGCCTTCACCTAGTTTCTCTAATCGCGTATATCGTTGTTCGGGTGGATAACCTGTGGCCATTACGTTATCGGTTTTGCAGAAAAAAAAAGAAAAGGAGAAAGAGAGAGGGGAGTTTGGAATTTTGTTGACAAGTTTTGCCTTCTAAAAAAAGGGTTCTTTTCATTGTTTCATCATGAGTTCAAAGGCACGCTTCTCGAATATCTTCTTTTTCTCTCCTTTAAATTGTAAACTGCTACTGGTGCAGTTCTATATAGAAAGAGATGGCTGTAAAACGGTGCTTGAATTTCTTTATAAGATCCTGTTGTTCCTATGTTGATACATAAATTTAAAAAATCACTGTTTACATGGTCATTATACATTCTATAGGTTACTGTCTATCATTCCTCATAAAGGCAGTCCCCTTTATTATAAAGAAGTAAATAAATATTCATAAATAAATAGGATGTAATAGTCATAGGATTATGCAGCTTTTGTAGAAAGATGCTTCTCGAAAGGCTTTTTAATTGCTCCCTAGAGACACCTTTTTCATTTAATTAATAACTTACAAAGCCGAGATTCCCTTTCGAGGAACACATAGCATGCTTTTTATTCCAAGTGCACAGTACCCCCTGCTTCATTACTTATGTTATCCGTAAGCATATGCTCTCCTATCATAACATAGATAAGATATTGGCTTAAACCTGTTTAACAATAATCAGTTGATTACATGTGCTTCCCTTTGGAAAAAGTAGTCACAAGCCTGGTATTGAAACAGGAACACACATTTTTCACTTTTTTTGTTGCTGTTGTTGTTCAAGCAGATGAGACCATTTTTACTGCGACCTAAGCTTATAAAGATGTTTAACCTCATGTTGGGAGATTCTAACTGTTAATGAACTGACATTTGATTCTCTTTCGACATTAATTATACAATGAACCCTGTTCAAGAAACGAGAAAAAGCAAATATCCTTGGCTCAGAGGATCCCGTGACACTTGGATCTCGTACCATTATCATTCCACAAACAGAAACAAAACGGTAAACCAGATGGAAGCTTGGAAATAATTATTTGTCAAGTTGAACCAGGGTACAAAAGACAAAATTGTAGAATACGCATTCGGAAAGCTATATGGGATATTGAAGTGAAATAGCCTTGGTCTATAAGTACTCCTTTGTTCAAAAGCTTTATGGATATGGAAACTGCAGATATACTTCATGTTTATATATACAATGGTGTGCAAGCTTGTTGCAGAGATACACAAGATGGGTGAAGATGGGACTTATTTCAGGGCTTCCTTTTTTAGTTTGCACAAGTATACATTACAAGGTTTCTGAGTCGAGCCACCTTTGATTCACTTTTGCGCAGCGTCACGATTTTTTCGAGTTTGAATCAGGTTCTATGATTGTTATTGAAGAGTAACTGGATACAAGAAAAAACGAGACAAAGAAGTGTTGAAAGGAGCTTCTTTATGCTCCCACATTTAACATCAGTATGCCATTTTGCAGATAGTTGAAATAATTATCAAGAAAAAAAAAAATCAGAATCCCGAAAGATAATATTAAAAGCCAAGGATGTGCTATTAAGAAGAAAAGGTACGAGGCTGCATGTAAGAATCATGCATTGATGATGAGGGAGACCTCTTCAACTATTGTCAAATATCAAATTGTTGTGAGTGAGCCTAGGGTTTGCTTAGTATTCTTGGTCAATTATTGAATGTACTATTCTCGCTACAAAATGAGGATATGAATGATATAAAAAAGAATATGGGACATCAAGACTACAACTAGTTTTCGCGATATTCGTATAGAAAAATCAAATTTCCTTCCTTTTATAGCTACTGTTTTGTAATTCCTTTCATTTGCTTTCATATTTTCAGTGTACAAATCAACCTCCGGCACTACAAAAAAGGAAATAGATATATAAACATTGAATATGAAAATTTCCTTTTTCTCCTTTCTTTCACAAAGCAACATGAACGATACATTTCTACAGCATCAATTAAGCCAAGAAAGTGCATTGACAGATGCATTATTTGCTCTCTATCACTCATCTAAACACCATACGACAGAAAACATACAACGATTCATTGACTTGTGTAATTACTATCATCTAAAATATCCGCGTATGCATGATTCGTATTAATTTCGTTATTAGATGAACCTATTTGCCATTCTCTCCACAACAGTCGACTCTCTATCAAAGATTTTGAATTTATACATAAAGATGTGTTTGCTAAAGGCGCCTTTGGAAAGGTGACGATCGTCAGACATAAGGATCAAATCTATGCCATGAAAATACTCAATAAATCTTACTTGATTTCTCAAATGGACCGCTCGTCTCCAATGGACGAACGACTTGTGTTGGCCAAAAACGATGAATGGATACCTAAGCTCTACGCATCCTTCCAGGATGGTCAGTATCTATACCTTGTCATGGAATACGCGCCTGGTGGTGATTTACAGGGCCTGATGGAAAGAAGAAACTTCAAGTTTACAGAAGAAGAAGCCAAATTTTATATAGCAGAGTTAGTTCTGGCTGTCGAACGAATTCATCAATGGGGTTATATGCACCGAGATATAAAGCCTGGAAACATTCTGATTGATCGACATGGACATATTAAGCTCGGTGACTTGGGCTCATGCATTCCTATCAATACCAAGGTAAATCGTTTCTTTCTCTAATGATCACTTAATCTCACACTTATTGTGTTGACAGTACCCGCTGTTGATGGTGGGAACAATGTCATATGTATCACCAGAGATGTGTAGCTCCGAAGGATTTGATTCCTCTCTTGGACCTGCTTATGGCCCGGAATCAGATTGGTGGTCTGTGGGCGTAGTTCTTTACGAACTACTGTATGGCATACCTCCATTTACTGGAAAAGACATTCAAATACAAATCAAGTTGATGGATCCAAAAGTGAATGTTCAATTTGACGACTCTATCCAAGCATCATCTGAAGCCAAAGATTTACTGTCAAAGTAAAAGTAATAAAAATGGAGAGAAGGAGAAGAGGGAGGGGGGAGACAAGTGTCAAAATAAGATACTAATTAAAGATAGGTTGTTGCACAAGTCAGACAAGTGCAGATTAGGTCATAACGGAGCAGAAGAAATCAAGTCTCACCCGTTCTTCAAAGATGTTCAGTGGCAAAGTATACGTACCTCGACTACACCGCCGTTTGTTCCACCCATCTCTGCCTTGGATGATGTTACATTCTTCTCAGTAACGAGTGATGACGACGATGATGATGATGAGAAAGAAGACGGAGACGAAGAAGGGGACAATTTGAGGGATAAGGATTTCCCGTTTATCGGATACACCTATGTTAATAAACTATTAGAAGGACCATCAAGGGAAGCCCAGGGTGAGCAAAAGACAGAGCAACAGCAAAATGGGGATCAGTCAGAGGATTGCACACGAGAAATGAATGAACTCAAACAGCAAGTGTCCATATTACAAGACGAAAATGAAAAACTATCAACAAAGTGCGAGACGAGCATATGTAAAATGAGCGCACTCAATGAACACATTTCTCATCTAGAGCAAAAACTGACAGTTCATCAGGAAGAAAGTTTAAAGGACACGAAAAGACAACTCGAGAGGATAAAAGCACTAGAAGACGAGCTTTCAGCACGTGAGAAAGAATCTCAGCAGATGATGACAAAATACAAGCAGAAATTGGAAAGAGAGTATCAGCAAAACAGTCAAGCTATTACACAAAAATTAGATGATCATATGCAATATCTACGGATGATGGAGTCAGAGAATCTTAAGTTGAAGTCTGAAAACGATGCACAAAAAGCACGTATCGCGTCTCTTGAGAAGGAATTGATAGATGCAACAACTCATAACGAAATGTCACATATTCAATTGGAAGAAAGATATGATGCCAAATTAAAAGCACAGGAACAAGAATATCAGGCAAATGTTCAGCAGCTTCATCTGGAATTGAATAGTCTACAGCAAAAGCTACAGGAAATGCAGCAGGAGAACCAAAATAGATCTTGTCAGGATGAGCTTTCAAACAACAAGTCCAAAATACTCTCAGTCATGTGGCAACGCGATAGAGACCATCTACATAGTGTCCAACAAACACTGGCAGACACCGAGAGCAACCTTGCAGCAGCCAAGCGAGAAGTTGCTCGCTTAAAGAAAGAGATCAAGTACTATCAGATGAATATCCTTCATAAAGAAAAGAAGTTATATTTTCCAATGGAAGTCAACGATGATGTTTCGATGATCCCGAATCTTATAGATAGCATCAAAGCACCCATGACCAGAAGACGAAAGCGAATAAATTTATCAGCAAGCTTGAGCAATTTATCTTCACTTGCCACAAGAGATATTTCCAGTGACCATAAAATGAACAGCATAAAGTAAGTAAAAAAAGATCCACCTTGTAAGATATGAACTTGCTCACTTTACAAATTTTACCCTTGAAATAGGTCAAGTATAAATGATAAACAGGTGAAAGAAATTGAAAGTCAGATCAAGATAGAAAAGGAATTTATCGCAAGTACACAGCGTGCGCTAACTGCCCGTGCAAGGCTGTCGAGAGTGAAGACTGAATTTGACCAAGAATTACATGAGTCTATTGCCAAATCTAATGCAAAGATATTGAATCTCCAGGAAAAGCTTAAACAGGTACACTAAATTGCCTCCCCTCTCTACAAGAATTAGTACTGAAAAAAAAAGTATGTATCTGTAGCTCAAGGATGATATCAACTGTAAATAAAGGTTTGATTAAATGTAAATAATAAAGTCGCATTATTGTGTGATACACATTCTAGGCGTTGGTCCCTGAATCCTAGTGATAGACATTGATATCAGAGCATACATGATGTCATCTTTTGCATGACAATACCAATTATGCTTCACGAGAAATAAAAGGGGTGTGATATTTATGCATAATTTATCACACAGGCTCATTTATACAGAGGGAAGAAGTTAAAAAGTCAAGCTTTGAGTATTTGAAACAAATGAGGAGCATTTATTTGTTTACAAAAGAAAAACAAAGAGAATGGATGGTAGCGTTGCAAAGAAAGATATTCCTACCAGACAAATGGAGGAGTAGGAGGAGTAGGGGGAGTGGGAGGGGTAGGAGGAAGTCTTTGGCCTCCCCATCCGCTACCACTACAACCACCCCAGCCGCAGCCACCAAAGTTACGACCACGACGGGCTAAATGATTCCAGTTGGGGTAATAGTCTAGTATGTAAGGGTGGAAGGCAGCAGGATAAGCATATTCAGCCTCAATGTTTTGATTTTGTTCGGAATTAACATTGGCAGCGTCTTCGGCATTTACAGTATCAGCAAATACTTGAGTGCTAGCAATAGAGAGAGCCAAAAGAATAGCAGAGGATAAGAATTTCATGTTTTGAGTGTAGGTAAGAAACAAAATAGCAAGAGAACTAGTTGGTTATTTATATTAAATCGAGAGACGTTCGTCTATCATTTACCATAAAGCTAAAGTGGCTTATGAAGCATCTTTGAGATGCATTTTTATCCAAATGTGAGAGTATAATGAACGACGTGTGCTTGGATGTGATGATATACAAGTAGAGCCCTAAACATCTCGTATTGCTTATGATGCTAGTGTCCCTTCTTAGTAAAGCTCCACTTTATACATTATAATGGACTTGTTTTCTCTAGTATCTATGCAAGAAGAGCATATAATGAAGCTTTTTCCAACCCTGTCCTTCTTGTAAAAGTATCTGATTCTATACAATTAAAGAGATGCACTGATTAGCTATAAATATATAATATAAACAGCTTTACTAAGGGTGAAGTAATGAACTAGAGGCTTTTCTATTAAGCTGTGGCATACAACAAAGTTTCAATAGCACAGCATTTGATTTCAAATAAGATGCATACTCCTTCCAATGTGTCTTCTCAATAAGTCCTTGTTTTTCTTCTATCACCAGGGCCCTGATGAATATTTTGGAAGCACATACTTCTCATTCACACAAGCAGGATTCAGAGTTTGAGAGTAAGTTTGTGTGTCAATATCGCTTCCTTATGAGTAATTCTCAACAAACATACATGATGCCATCTTAGAGAAAGAAAAGCTGTAGAACAATATCATAACTGAGAACAAGTAATGGTAAAGTCAATAGCTAAGAATCATTGCTTTATAATTCATAAAGAAATAAAATATAGCATCAAGGCTTTTATAATGAAATCTATATGTACTGCTTGCAATAAACTGAGATATAGAAACAATAGTATGATATTAGAAAATAATTGATATAGGGACAGGAAAACAAACTGTGGTTGCTTTATTTATCAGTAATATAAGCATTTAAGAAAGTTGCTAAGCTCGAGGAGGGGTAGGGGGTGTAGGGGGCGTGGGAGGAGTAGGTGGACCACGGCCGATTCCACCGCCTGGTGGTGTAGGAGGAGTGGGAGGAGTGGGAGGAGTAGGTGGAATGCCTGGAATGCCTGGAAATCCTGAGCGGCCTGTGCGCCAAAGTTGTCTCACAGGTACAGGAAGACCAACAGGAAAGTATATAGGAGGAGATGGAGGGGTAGGTGGAGTGGGTGGCGTGGCACCGCCCCAGGTAGGAGGAGTAGGAGGGGTGGGTGGTGTTGGTGGGATTCCTCCAATTGGGTAGATAGGAATGGTAGTGCCAGGATAGTAGTAGGGCCACATCCATGGCCATGGAAAGATATTCGACGGTGTAGGAGGCGTAGGAGGAGTAGGAGGCGTGATCTGTCGTTTGCTATGAGCAACAGAATGTTAGTTTCTCCAATATAACCCTGATCATAAGCTTACACAGCACGTTTACTGTACATCAATTTACCACATCCATGGCCTTTACAGCAACAGCCACCACCGCATCCACCACCATTTTGGTGCCAGCGATGTTCAAACTGCTCAGAAGATGTAGGCAAGCTCTCTGTATTGCTACCACGCTTACGGTTCCACCATCCACAATTGCCATGATGTTTATGCGAACGACGTTCAAGTTGTTCAGGAGACATAAGCAGGTTTTCTGTATCAAAGACAGGGATTACTTGTACCTCAGCAGGATACTCTTGATTTGATTCTTTAGTCTTGACACCAGCAGAGGTATTCAAGGGAGCAGCCAAAACTTGAGTACTGATTGTAGAAAGGACCAGAAGGGTAACAAAGGATAAGGATTTCATTTTGAGATATTTGATTTCTGTCGACTGTAAAATAACGGGCTTCTTATATAAGAAATTAAAGGCTCATCTTGTTTATCATAAAACATGTGTCAATTATGTAAAATGACTCTTGCTGGATAACATTAAGGAGGTAGGAAGGTTCTCATATGAACTCATGAGGTGCTCTTAGAATACCTTAGACGTTCTTGCTGATAAAGTTTGAAGTCTATAATCTCACACGTGATGAATTAATGCAAGACCGTGTTGCTGATCTTGGCAACCAAGTTTATGCAAAAAAAAAGAGGCATATTACAGATGTGTACTGTCTGTAAAAGAAGGTTCTTTCAGTAGTTTCTATAACAGTTCATAAAAGAAGCCAAGATAGGTGTTCATGTTTATATTTCTTATAAACTATTTCTGACATGTATCTTTTGTTAATTACTGGAAATACTTACTCTCTTGTATCTTTTACATGTTATAGAAAGCCTTAAAGAGAAGCTCATGATCCAAAGTAACTTGATTACTCTTGCCGTGCATCAATTAAAAAGTAAAAATATAAAAATAAATCTTTCCTTTTTTATATTTTTATTTTTTATTTCCACTTGCAAAATGTTTAAGAAATCTTCTCGCGCAAAGAACATTCGACGAAAGATAGACACTGCAGACGATGAACCAGCGACTGTCAATGAAGGTAATGTTTAAGCGATTAACAAGGAATTAGAAAAAAAAGAAGGGACAATAACATTATGAAATTATAGAAACCATCGTTCAAAAGACAGTAACATCGTTAGCAGAAAAGAAAAAGAAAAGAGAGGCCAAAAAGACTATTTCATTAAGCTTCGATCAAGAGGTACTATTTTGATATCGTTGCTCATGTTCAACTTGGTTAACTGAAAGAATTTAGGAGGAAGGAGGAGGAGAAGGAGCCGGAGAATTTCAAGTAAAGAAGACAAATAAAGGATACAGACTTCAGATAAGAGAGTAATGTAGAAAAGAATGGAAGGCTTTAAAAACAGTAAATAATTAACATGACGCCTTCTGTGTATAGAGATTTGAATCCTTTGGCAGATCTGACAGATACCACAACCTATACGACAACAACAAGTTATGACACAGCCACTTTGAACGAACTTCGCGCAGCCACACCAAGTCTATCAACAAAATCAACAGTGTCTTCAGAAGACGCTTTGCTACATGAAAAATTCCCTTCTATAGCTAATCCCACAACAGAAATATCAGGAATTCCCGATGCAAGCGCGATTTTGGCTGCCAAAAAGAAGCGAGAACAAATGAGAAAGGGATTTACAATTCGAGAACAAGACGATGGGTTTATAGCTTTGGACAGTAAAGATGATACAGAGTTGGTAAGTTTTATAATAGAATAAAAAGAGAGAAGAGACACTTACCACTATGAAAAAATAGGGTAGCGGAAGATTAATAAGAGAGGAAGATGATATAGGAGATGATGGTGAAGCAGGTAAATTGTACTGAAAAGAAGAAATTCAAGGTTCATTTTATCAATTGTGAGTATTTTAGAATTTGACAAATACGTTGGAGGGTCCTTTACGATAAACCAAGGCAAAGCAAAAGCTATGGAAAAGGAGCGTAGAGATGATTTACGTGAAATGATTGACGAGGCTGAACAGGACGAGGAGCAATCAGAAGATATTGGAAGATGGGAAGAGGATATGATCAAGTTTGGAGGTGCAAAAGCTCAAAGAAAAAGCAACGATCCATTTGCAGCACCGCTGAACTATAGACCAGCACAGGGTATGAACGAATTGTACTTGTATATCATTTTGACTTTCTAAAATTAATTTATATAGTACCCGAGTCGGCTGCATTGCCTACTCTGGCAGATGTGATGAGCTCTTTGAATTTGGCAACAAACGACATGGCATTTTCAATGGAACAGCACAAGAGCAACCTGGCAGAGGCACAGAAATCAATGGATTCATTAAAGGCGACAGAAAGGGACATTGAAAGAGAAATTGAAAGAGGAAGCGGTAGATATACCTACTTTCAGGAACTCTCACAATTTGCCAACGACCTTGGAGAATTTTTGGATGCAAAGGTAAACAAGATAGATAACAAAAACCTCTGTTATGTTGCTTATCAGTTTACTTCTATGCAGTTTCCAGAACTCGAGGATTTAGAAGAAAAGGCGCACAGCATGTTTGCTTCCGATGCAGAGGTTATCATTTCTCGCCAATGGCAAAACACAATAGATGATCTATCACTATTTGCCCAAGTCCAGTATACAGACAATGAAATGGAAGAAGATGGGGATTTGGATGAATTTGGCAGAATGAAGGATTTAAAAAACTCGGACATAGCGCGACATCGCAGAAGAGAAGAACGAATTCAACGTATAGCAAGGCAAGCCGATCTTGCTGAATTATCAGGTGAGGAAGCTACACGAGAACAGGGGCTATGGACAGATGATGAGCTGCAAGAAGAACATATTATGCAAAGGGATGATAAATTACAGGACATCGAAATGACTCAAGTTAACAATATGATGGATGATGTGAATAATGAATTTAAATCCCTTGCAGCTGTAAAGAGCAAGTTTGAAGCGTGGAAGACGATGTATTATGACGATTATCAAAAGGCTTATGGCAGCCTGAGTTTACCAGCCGCATTTGAATTTTATGTTCGCTTAGAATTGGTAACTTGGAACCCATTCTGTGTAAGTGTGCCAAAAGCAGACACAGATACAATTTTTATCCAATATTCTTATACGCATCCATTTAGGATTCCTTAGAATTTGATAGTATGGAGTGGCATAGGACTTTATCAGAGTACGGGCTATCATCAGAACATGAAGACCCTGACACTGAAATGCTGAATAAAATAGTTGAAAAGGTGATTATAAAGAAGATCAAAATTTATCTGGAAACATTGAATGCTCGTTCCTCAAGACAAATGAGATATGCTTCGCAGGTTATGGAGCAAGTCTCTTATTATGTGGATCCAAACGAAAAAGCTTACAAGGTATGTAATTGTTTTGCCATGTGTGTATTTTTTTCTAATGATTGGGATGATAGGAACTCGCCATTGAGCTTGTTCATGCTTTAGAAAAACAGATTAGTCGTATTGCAAACATTGTAGAGACGAGTACACTCAGATCAAATTTGGATCAGGAGGCTATAGAGGCCAAGCATCGATTTTTTTGGAGTCAGTGTAAATATCTAAAAACCTTGGCCTTTTTACGTCGACAAATATCCAGAGATCAACTTGATCGACTTGTTAATATCGTATCCACTAGACTTATAACACCTATTTTACAACCACAGCTCGATCCACTTGATGCACAACTGCATAACGAGATGCTGTCATTATTGTCCGTTTTACAAAGAAAATAATAATAACGATGACAACAAGGGATAATTTATTATAACCATACCCTATTTCTTCTATTCCTTGATGGGCGGTGAATGATTTTACCTGTTCTCTTTTGTAATCTGGATAGTCCCTCTTTTGCTTCTAGTTTGATACGTATAGCAGAATTCATTCTCTGCTGTGTACTCTGATCTTTTTCCTACAGGATGGTTAACACACTAGTCGCATACACACACGTAGTCTATGCCGCATACCATATCATTGGGTATAATATCATCCGTCAGAGCAATGGTTTCTGTCGTTGGTTTTAATTCGATCTGATTGTTGAGGGTTTCTTGCGCTCGTAAAGCTATTGAAATGGCTCGTGTGACCATGGCTCCTAGACCGTGAATGGTGACAGTATTATGGCTGAAGAAGATGTGAGATATTATTTTTAATTGATTAACTATTGGTTTTACTTTTCTTTTAGCATTAGTCTCTTAACTCTATTTACAATAGCTGATGATTTGCTATTGCTAGCAATATAAATGTCAGCTGGCACAGAGGCTGGCCTTTGAGGCTTTCGTTTATGGATGGAACCTAGATACTACATTAGTTCTTTCTTCTATAAGAAAAATAATAATGAGATTAGGAATATTAACCTTCAATGAGTGATCTCTTTTTATAATTTGTCTCTGCCATGGATCAACTAAAAGAACACAAGCTTATTTTGAACTTTGGATATTTTTCATTTTCAATAAAGAAAGTCACAATTATGCCCACTCATTTTTTTTTCCAGTTCTCCATTTTACTGACCCACAGGTTAATAGCTTTCTCTGTTACTCCTACCGCTTCAGATCAAGACGACGACGACTCTCAATCTTGACTCTGTACTCTTCTAGAGATTATTTATTTCATACTTCTGGCGTTGATTATCCAACCTATGCTTCCATCACCTGTAGATCTCACCTCAAAGAGTATTTCATCTTTACATCTGACAGTGTTCCTCTTATCTTTGAAGCTGGCATATCTTCTCTAAGCGCCTCCAGCAACTTCAGCCATTGCTCCATTCTGAACTACATAAGTTTTTCTCTGTTAATGTCAGCTTGAGTGCGTCTGTTAAAACAGGTTCTCAAAATATTCAAGTTGAGCTTAGACTAACCTCTACCTCTAATTGTGGGAACGTCATTGTTAATCCCATCACTATACAAGGGCACACCATTCGAGCTATTCCAGCGTATTCGCCTATTACATAAGATTAATCTCAGTGACATCGTTTGTGCTTCTGATGACTATTTGTAGACTCACTTGGGTGCCATGCTTTAGAGATTTGGCATAGTAAAAGATATAATGTTGTACTGCAGTGATGTTTGTGGAGAATGGCTCCTTGCAACAGTCGCGTTTATTTAGAAATACCCTGTAATTCTGGTTATCAAAACGAGATATTGACTTATCACATCTGTCTCTCTAATAGTGGTGCTTCCTTTTTGACTATTTGGGCACGCATGCCTGATCACTGTCAATATTTCAGGCGCAGAGTTATATCTGTAATGGAGCTATGCTTTGTTACAGCGTAAGTGACGTGGGATTGTTCGTAAGATTACCGCCCATCCATTCCTTATGACAAGGTTTCTACCACAGTTGACTGTAATTGAAGAGCAGCTTGCTTCTTCGCAAACAATACCATATTAACACTTTTGCTCTCCGCTCTGGGAGCACTGATGCACACTTGACGAAATTTCTTCAAAATGACTTAAACGCACTGTCTAGACAAGCACAAGTCGAGAAAATATTGATTGCCTTCATCTTTCTACTACTTCAGTTCTTTACCATACTAATGATACCATGTTGAATGCAGTCGCTTCATTTTGCCCATCATTTATTCTTGATATCGTTGAGCAGCCTGCTATAGATTAACTGCTTTCCTCTTTGCCTGTTAAGCTTCATTTGGCCGATGCTTCAAAATTTCTTTAACAACGCCTCTCAACTTCAATTGATCTTTAAAAGCTGTCGATCAGTGTCCTCACCAGAGCAGTGTGAGGTCTGATGGCTTACCGTATACTTTACTGTCGGCCATCTTTCAGCATTCTGCTTAAGGTTATCATTCTACAATCCTTCAATGAAGATTTGACACTTGAAATTATCCATTTATATGATTAAATACTCGTGTTCCTTTTTTACTGAGTAGGGCGACTTTTCCGATCTTCGACATTGGCGTCCCATATCATCAATCAATACTAGCACAAAAGAGTCCCCTCTTCTGCTCAACTATTGCCTGTTATCCGCAGTATCGTTCTTATTTACACTTTTCACACTGTATTCATGCGTACTCGCTTTAAAACAGACAATGAATTACTCATAAAACTAATTAGGAGTAATTGAGATGTTTCTTCCTGAAAGGTTATCAGGCTCTTGTATGACCAAGAGAAGGATTGTCTCAGGATGTATCCTGTTTATTTGGGGTAAGCTTCCATAGATACAAGCTTTTCCATTTCTTTTGTTAATTATGTATATGGGCTGTTCGTTAGCATAAATTTTTGTATCAATGCCGATGGTTCCCGGTTACCTCTGTTCTACGTCATCGTGATCTTAGATAATAGAACGCTCTCCCTCCAGCGCTATTTAATAAGACATTCGAACCGTTTCTTCACGGTTCTCTTTTGGAATCTTTCTTTCGCGGAGTCTCTTTACACATAACTATTCGTTCACTCGTTCTGTAATATTTGTTGAAGATAAAATGTTAGAACGTAAATTTCAATGGGACTGTTTTGCCAAGTACAAAGGTAAAAGACAAAAACTAGTAAAATGAAGAGAGAATAGAAAAAGGACAATAAGTCAGTGAGACTGAAATATATGATGTCTTTATTTACGATGAATAAAACAATGGTATTTATACTTTTTAACATCTACAATCAACAATGATAATTGGATATCATGAGCGTACCTATAAGCGTCCAGCTACAATGGGAATAACTGGGAAGAACCTAACTAGTCACTATGGCGAGAAGAACCGTGAATTTTTTTTAGACACCCCACAAAAAAAACCGTGAATATGGCCATTTTTATCGCACTCGACCGTGAATAATTCACGGTTATTTGAACCAATCATTTGACAGAATCCCTCTTCTTTACGGTCCAATCATGTATGGCTAGTAGCAGCATATTAAGGCTTTCTGAATGGTTCATAATAACGGTAGAAATAGGCAAAATAGACAGGAATTATTTTAGAATGGATGGATTTTATTTATTTCATTTATTTTAATAATAATAAGCATGTATTGCTCATTTGGAATAGCAAAAGCTATTTTATAAAATTATTTGTGTAGTAAAGGATGTTATGTAATGGTTTATAAGACACAAGACAAAGACAAAAGAAGTACTCTTTGA